TAAGTAACGAAACTAAAATAAAATAAAATAAAGAACAAACAAACTAACTAACTAAGTAAGAAAGAAGGGACGGACGACGACGACACCTACTACCTACCCTAACCTAACTCTCTCTCTCTCTCTCTCTCTCTCTCTCTCTCTCTCTCTCAAAAACTTGTAATGTTCTCTCACTAGTGAGGAAATGGAGAAATGGGGGCCCAAAAACCATGCAAAGATAATCAGTTGCATCAAAGACGAGAAAAAGAACGCATTTAGATCAGGGTTTGACTGCTCCATATAGGCTGGCATCAAAATCCAACCGAATGGGTCTCCGGATTGGGTGGGGCATGTGGGGATCAGGTGCACCTGGTTGTCTCAGTCAATGACATCATAGGCAGATGCACCTGACTTCTCTCTAATTATTCATGGAAAAGGAAGAATTATTTCCATTTATAGGGAAAGACAGAGAACAGTATTTTGGTCATTCTTTTAATGAAGGAGATTGATGACGTCTAGTAATTCTAAGTGGTATTTTTTTAGGGAGGGAAAGAGAAACGGGTTCTTTTGTTTACGGGTAGGGGGATGGGATTTGAAGGAAAACCTGCAGTTTTGGAGGGTTCACCAGTTGTTCTACTTTTTATTTTCTCTTTCTTGGTCTTTTATAGAGCAAATTAATTCTACATACTAATAGAACCATTGAATAGTAGGGTTTGGAATAAAGGAGAATGGAGGTTTGAAGGTTGGGGCCATGGCTGATTTTCAATGTGCAGAGTTTCAGGTCAGAGTACATAATTATTCCAAATAATATTATACAGAACATAGGGTACCTACTACACAACTAACAAAGAATATTATGTGAAATATATTAATTTTAGACAAAATAGTTGATGTAGGTCAACATAGGATCCCAAGAGTTTTACTTGGACTGCCAGTTTCCATAAAACTTGAATGGAGAAAGAGAGTACAACATGAGTTAATTCCTAGGATTGGAAGTTGGGATATACTTAGGACCTTGTCGGTTTTTTGTTAGGGAAAGTGGGTAGTTTTTAAAGAGTATTGAAAGTTCAAAACATGTATAAAAGGGTTAGGACATGCCATTTTGAACTCATATTATGTTACTTTTATTTTGAGACAGCAGTGTGCTTTTGGTTTGTGGTACAGCTTGGCTCCTGCCAATTTTCTCTCTCTACTGTTTCCATTTAATATATGAGCCTGAGTTCAGGCTTGGACAAGGTGTTGTCTCTATTAGCAGATCCTATTCCGTGGTGGCAAGGAGGGGGGAGGGGTTTGTGGCAATTATGCAATGAACAATGCAAGAGATGAAGAGTTGGAGCCACTTTGTAGGCAAGTGAAACAAAAAATTGCAACTCGAGCGTCCAAAAGCTTACAGTGAATATGAACACAGCCATGAATATTCAAGCGATGAGTCGGATATTGATCCCTTTGCCAATCGGGGTCGACAAAGGGATGACCCGGAAACCAGGCTGCTCGTGAATAACTACATCAAAATTGAATTACTGGAGTTCCATGGCAAGCTTACCCTGAATGGCTGAGCGCCATTGAGAATATTTTGATATCAAAGAAACACTAGAGGAATAATGTGTGAAGCTTGTTGCAAAGATTTTATCTTTGGCAAAAAATATAATCAAGATTGACAAAGAAATTCCTACTGGTCGAATGCACTCAAATGTTCTTTTCACAATTCAATGATCTCTGCAAAGAGAGAAAAGAGTATGGCTCGGTACACCGAAGAGTTTTACTAACTAATGGAACGAAATGACATCCAAGAAACAAAGGAACAACTTGTTTCAAGGTATGTTGGTGGATTGAGGATGGTAATCCGTGATGAAGTGGAGATGAACCGGTTATGATGGATCAATAATGTCTATCAAATAAATAGCTTTGAAAGTTGAGGCGAAACTTTCCCGTGGCAATGCACGGGAGCATGCGGATGTGTGCAGCTTTTTATCCATCCTTACGGGATGAAACTTCAAAAGGACGGGCTTTCAACCTTGAAGGAGGAAACACCAGCAAGGATCTTCCAAAGACCACCACACTGGCCAAGGTGGGTTGGCCCAAGAGGAAAAGAAGTTGAGACAAGTTAACCAGCCTCTTACTTGCTTCAAATGTAGCCAAATTGGACACATAGCAAGTGAATGTCCTCGGCAACAAGTTGACACTCATGCCAACATCGTGGACGAGAGAGCTGAGGAAGAGTTTGTAGATGAAACCGTAGAACCCATCTATGATGATGATGATAGAAATTTGATATGAGAAGAGATTGAACCCAAGGTTGTGAGAGCTTGGTGATTCGCTGAGCTTTAACCACTCCAAAGGTGGACCCCGGCGAGGATTGGCTGAGAACCAACATCATCAAAACTCAAAGCAAAACACGAGGCAAGATGTGCACCGTTGTTATTGATGAAGTTGTGAGAACATTCTCTCACAAGGAATGGTGGACAAACTCAAGATGAAAACTAAAGCACACGCAAGACCCTATCGAATTGCATGGTTCAAGTATAAACGTGACTAAATGTTGCTTAGTTTCTTTTTCACTAGGTAAAAGTTACAAAGATGAAGTATGGTCTGATGCCATTCCTTATGAATTTATGGAACTTACTACTCGAGAGGCCATGGCAGTTTGATAGACGAGTCATACATGACGGTCGCAAAAGCATCTACACATCTGGATGAGTAATGGGCAGGTTGTGCTCTTGCCAAGCAAGGAAGAGAGTGCATCCAAATCTATACAGGAGGACAATAGTAACTTCCTTACCATGTCTAAGGTTGTGAAAGAAAATGATCAGTGGGGTCATGTTTGCATTGATTGCAAAACAGGTCAAACCCACAAGTTTACCTTGTGAGTTGAAGCCCCTTTTGGAAGAGTTCAAGGACATCATCCCCGATGATCTACCAAATGGACTTCTCCCATTAAAGGATATTCAACACCAAATTGATTTGTTAGCCGGTGCTAGCTTGCCGAACAAGGCTCACTACCTTATGAGGCCAATCGAGCATGAGGAACTTTATCGGCAAGTTGCAGACCTACTCAACAGCGGGTTTATCTTTATCCACGAAAGCATGAGTCCATGCACGGTGGCAGCATTCCCAACCCCAAAAAAGGATGGCACACGACGAATATGCGTTGATAGTCATGCTATCAACCGAATCACTATCAAATACCACTTTCCAATACTTAAGGTTAGATGGTATGTTGGATATGTTGAGCCTCCCAAGTGTTTTTTGAAATTGATCTAAGAAGTGGGTACCACCAAATTCAAATTAAGCCGAGTGATGAATTGAAAACTGTGCTCAAGACGAATGAGAATTTATATGGGTGGCTTGGTTTCTCCGCTTTTCCCTCTATCCTCTTTTGCTTCCCCATTGCCTCCTCTCTCTTCCTTCTTTCTCTCTCCGCTGATTTGATCCACATTCCCCTCTTTTTCTCTCCGCTTTTTCCCTCTATCCCCTTCCTCTTCCCTATTAAAGTGTTTCCCTATCTCTTTCCTCTTTCTGTCTCGTCTACTTCTCTCTTCCATCCTTCTCTCTAGGTTCAACAATGGAGGCTCTTCCCTCTTTCTCTCTAGGTTCAACAGTGGAGGCAAGCAAGGCTAGACTGGCCACTGGGAAGGAACATCTTTCCTCTTGTTTCCCTCTCTCTTCCCTCTTTCTGAGGAAGGAACCTCTTCCCTCTTTCTCTCTAGGTTAAGCAGTGGAGGCTCTCTCTTCCCTCTTTCTCTCTGGGTCCAACAGTAGAGGCAAGCGAGGCTAGAATGGCCACTGGGAAAGGAAAGGGTGGGGTGAAGAAGGCGGCGGCTGCAATGGTAAGAATTAATTGTTAATGTTTTGAAGAAGG